TATAATATCCTTCCCTCCAATGAGCAGTTGCTTTATTTTCTGAGGTATGGACTGGTTGGGTCTTCTCATGGTCCAAGGCGAGAAGATCCAACCGGTCCATACACAGAATCATAGAATCCTAGCGTTGGAAGAGACCTTGTGGGCGATCCAGTCCAAATCCCTGCCAAGAAGCAGGAAAATCACATTCAAAGTGCCCCTGATAGATGGCCATCCAGCCTCTGCTTAAAAGCCACCACATACCTTCTCTCAAAATCTTTAGGTCCAGGAGGAGGATCTAGAGATGCACAGTTAGGTGTTTTCTCATTGTTTCTCCACTTTCTTGGGTGTGCTGCACCTCTAGTTTAACAATTTGGGCCCATATGGGACTTCTGAGGCCATAAAAGAAGCAACATGAAGACTGAGCAACATAAGGTACAACTCCCATATTCATAGAGCATAGGTTCCAAGACTGATAGGGTTGTGCATTCAGTTTTGATCCGTTTTGTGTCCCAGCTTTCAGTGGGGGTTCTGATCCATCTTTTGGGAGCCTCCCAAAATCAGGAGGGCAGATATCTGTTTTCACTCAGGGTGCCAAAAGATCTGTTTTCTATTGGCCCATTAGAATCATAGAATCAAAGAGTTGGAAGAGACCTCATGGGCCATCCAGTCCAACCCCCTGCCAAGAAGCAGGAATATTGCATTGAAAGCACCCCTGACAGATGGCCATCCTGCCTCTGTTTAAAAGCCTCCAAAGAAGGAGCCCCCACCACACTCCGGGGCAGAGAGTTCCACTGCTGAACAGCTCTCACAGTCAGGAAGTTCTTCCTCATGTTCAGATGTAGTTTGGCGACTTTCCTGTCTGCACTTGCTTGGGAGTAAAATCTATTGAACTCTTGGGGGTGACGCACCTCTCTTGTAGTTTGCAGCCATTGCTTCATTGCATCCTAGTCTCTAGGGATGCAGAAAACAAGCTTGCTCCCTCCTCCCTGTGACTTCCTCTCACATATTTATACATTGCTATCATGTCTCCTCTCAGCCTTCTCTTCTTCAGGCTAAACATGTCCAGCTCTTTAAGCCGCTCTTCATAGGGCTTGTTCTCCAGACCCTAAGCTTTCTTGACTTCTCATGATGTGGCCAAAGGACCTCATCTTTGCCTCTAATCTCCTTCCCTCCAATGAGCAGTTGGGCTTTATTTCCTGAAGTATGGACTGGTTGGGTCTTCTCATGGTCCAAGGCGAGAAGATCCAACCAGTCCATACATAGAATCATAAAATCCTAGAATTGGAAGAGATCTTATGGGCCATCCAGTCCAACTCCCTGCCAAGAAGCAGGAAAATCGCATTCAAAGCACCCCTGATAGATAGCCATCCAGCCTCTGCTTAAAAGCCACCAAAGAAGAAGCCTCCACCACATACCTTCTCTCAATGGTGACTCCTCCATGGTGACTCAATAGTCAGCTTTTGGTGTAAGTTGACCATTGAGACAAGGTGGAGGATCTAGATATACACAGATAGGTGTTTTCTTGTTGTTTCTCCCCTTTCTTGGGGGTGACGCACCTCTAACCCCAATGAATATGGAGGGCCTACTGTAGTGTTGCTAACCTGAAGCATCCCTTGAGTCAACCATGGATGCATTCCTGATGGTCAGTCCCAACTCATGAAGACCAATGCAATCAACTGCAACTCATGAAGACCAATGCAATCAACTGAATTGGGAGGAGCAAACCTAGAAGGAAATCCCGTTGAATCAATGCCTCTACTCCAACTTGGAGCAACAATTTGGGCCCATATGGGACTTCTGAGGCCATAAGGGAAGCAACGTGAAGACTGATCAACATAAGGTACAACTCCCATATCCATAGAGCATAGATTCCAAGACTGCCAATAGATACCTGATAGGGTTGTGCATTCAGAGTAAACCTTAACCTATTTTGTGTCCCAGCTTTCTTTGGGGATTCTGATCCATTTTTTGGGAGCCTCCCAAAATCAGGAGGGCAGATATCTGGCTCTGGGGTGCCAAAAGATCTGTTTTCTATCAGCCCATTATGGTGAGGGGGCTTCCCAAGTTCCCCTTCCCATCATTTTAGGCATTTTAGCTGTTTTGCTCTAGAGGAGAGGTGCTCAGCTGCAGGCAGGTGCACGCTTTAAGGAGGTTTCTTGCATGTTTTTAGGAGAGGTGATTGGCTGCACGCAGACACACGCGTGCTTTCTGGGACTGCACACCATACACGTACTCTTTCCAAGGCAAGGAGGCAAGTTCTGACTTTCTTACTCTAGAGGAGTGGCTCGGCTGAAGACAGGCACATGCACTTTCTGCTGGCCATATGAACACTCTTTCCAAAGCAAGAAGCATGGAGCGCCATGTGCTCACGAAAAGCAGATGAGGAGCCAGGATCAGCTCCCGCTTGCTTTCGTGTTGAGCTGATTTTCGCACTAGTAGGGGCCTTCCCGTTACATGCTCCCAAAGGTAACGAAGTAATGAGATATCATGTACTAAAGGAAATGGTTCCGTGCACAACTCTAGTACCTGAAACCATGGATAAGAAGGAACCCTATATTTTAACCATACTTGGGCTGGAAAAGCACCATAGAGTTGCTCTGAAGGGTCTAAATAAATCCACAAATACTTTCAAGGGGAAATTATTTTTAGAGTGTGGATAAGTGAAAAAGTGTATAACGAATCCATGGATTAGAGAGCTATATCCAAAGAGCAATTAAGCTCTTGATTCCCTTGATTCCCCATAACACCTAGCCTTCTGATGAATTAGGACTGAAATAATATGCTAAAATCTGAACCGAGGGAAGTTGTTCTTTGACTGTAACTCTAGAACAGTGGTTCTCAACCTTCCTAATGCCACGACCCCTTAATATGCTTCCTCATGTTATGGTGACCCCCAACCATAAAATTAGTTTCATTGCTACTTCATAACTCATTTTGCTGCTGTTATGAATAGTAACAGATTGGGGGAGGGTATTGATTTTGTCCTGTGGGAGTTGTAGTTGCTGGGATTTATAGTTCACCTACAATCAAAGAGCATTCTGGACTCCACCAATGATGGAACTGAATCAAACTTGGCATACAGAATTCCCATGACCAACAGAAAATACTAGAAGGGTTTGGTCGGTAGAGTAGTTGATGCTCTCGGAGCTCAAGAGCACCCTGCCTGCCGGCATGCGAGCTCACCGGAAGTCCAGTTTACCTACATTCAGAGAGAACCGTAGACTCAAACAATGATGGATCTGGACCAAACTTTGCACGAATTCTCAGTATGCCCAAATGTAAACACTAGTAGAGTTTGGGGGAAATAGACATTTGGGAGTTGTAGTTGCTGGGATTTATAGTTTACCTACAATCAAAGAGCATTCGAACCCTACCAAGGATTGAATTGGGCCAAACTTCCCACACAGAACATCCATGGCCAACAGAAAATACTGTGTTTTCTGGTGGTCTTTGGTGACCCCTCTGACATCCCCTCGCGACCCCTCCAGGGGTCCCGACCCCCAGGTTGAGAAACACTGCTTTAGAACATAAGAATTGGTATCGACATTTCAAAGTAGGAACTCTTCCAAACTCTATTTAGAACCTAAATGCATGAGGCCCAGTTCAGTCATTGGTCCATGGGTGGCTACTTTTCCATCCAAACCATTTGGAGAAAGGTACCTATCCAGAGCAAGTCTCAATACCTACATTTTTTGCAATCCTTCTCAAAATGGCAACAGGACATGATGCTGTGTTCCCCATGATCCACATATTAGAGAGGTTGCAGAGGAGAGCAGAGAGATAAGGAGGCAGTACAGGGTTCTGGAGTGTTTGCATGTGTGTGTTTGGGAAGTATTTTCATATGTTCTAATGCATTTGGGGGCGAGATTTGTGTGGAGCTGGGGCAAATATTGCCTGAAAATTTAGACAATTTGAAATGGTTGAGGAGTTTTGCGACCAACATGGCCACCATTTCCCCATCCTTGCATTATCATGCAACTCCTGGAACTATTCCATCAGCGCTGCCTCCGGAAAATCCTGCAAATTTCTTGGGAAGACAAGCGGACAAACGTCAGCGTGCTGGAAGAAGCAAAGACCACCAGCATTGAAGCGATGGTCCTCTGCCATCAACTCCGCTGGGCCGGCCATGTTGTCCGGATGCCTGACCACCGTCTCCCAAAGCAGTTGCTCTACTCTGAACTTAAGAATGGAAAACGGAACGTTGGTGGACAGGAAAAGAGATTTAAAGATGGCCTCAAAGCCAATCTTAACATCTCTGGCATAGAAACTGAGAACTGGGAAGCCCTGGCCCTAGAGTGCTCCAGCTGGAGGTCAGCTGTGACCAGCAGTACTGCAGAATTCGAGGAGGCACGAGTGGAGGGTGAAAGAGAGAAACATGCCAGGAGGAAGGCGCATCAAGCCAACCCTGACCGGGACCGCCTTCCACCTGGAAACCAATGCTTTCACTGTGGGAGAAGATGCGGGTCAAGAATAGGGCTCCACAGCCACCTACGAATCCACAAGGAAACCCATCATGGAAGACCATCTTACTCGTCCAACGAGGAATTGCCTAAGGATTATCAGGACCATTTATGTAGTTCAATTTTTGTTTGTTTGTGGGTTGAAGTCAGACGTTGACTTTCACCTATGGAAATAAGCATCACCACAGATGGAGATACTATTATCATCAAATTCCAGCTCAACCTCAAAACTTCTCAAGATGAATTCAGAGATTCAACAGAGTGGTGGTGGTGGTCAGGTGTGCAAACCATGGACCCAAGGGTGAAATCTGACCCCAAAACCTTGCAGATGCTGGTCTTTGGATAGGTAACATCTATGCTTCTCTTGAACCCTCAAATTCTGAAGATTATAAATGTCTGAGATTGATTCTGAAGTCTCTTTTTCTGGACCAACTTATGTCGAGGGGCACTGTGGTATGAGAGACTGTGTGGTGTAGTGGTTTGAGCATTGGCTACAACTTTGGTGACCAGGCTCAATGTTGGAAATCTAATGGATTGGACAAGTCACACCTTTAGGGTGTGACTTGTCCAATCCATTAGATTTCCAACATTGAACCTGGTCACCAAAGTTGTAGCCAATGCTCAAAACCCTTTAGGGTTGCCATAGGTCAGAAGTGACTTGAAGGCACACAACATCACAAGCACTCTGTGGGGAGCTAAACCTTCTCTCAAAATCCCTTGGGATGACTGGTTCAGCAACACAAGTTTGGAGGAGGACCACACAACCTGAAGATGCCCATCAATGACATGGTAGGACTCCAGACACATGTATGGTTTGCCCCCTTGTATATTACCAGATAAGATGGGAGTTTTGTCCTTGAACATGCCCCATTGGAACCGAGTCCACGACTTGCTCATGGGAAAGGGATGATGTTTTGTTTCTCCTCTTTAGCATCAGAAACTCAGTCTCTCTGGTCCTAGAAGTTCCCATGAAGTTACAAACAAGTATATATTCTCCAAGCAAACCCATTCTTCAACAGATAATCCATTGCTTCAACATCTCATGAAGTCATAGAAGAATAGCACAGATCTTTGCAACTGGGCCGTGTAGGACATCCAAGTGTTTGGGTCTGAGTTTCAGTCTCAAAGGATAACCATTCAACCCTTTAAAAAATAATTAGGGGACTGGGTGAAACTGTTAGCAGGAGTTGACCATATTGGCATGAGGAAGCAGTCCAGCTACCGATACAATGTGTGGAGATACAGGTTGTTAGTAAGTTTCTACTCCAACCCTTCCATAGAAGGTCCTCCAAGATCCAGCATTGAATGTTGGGTATGGACTTCAAGAGACCAGGCTTCAAATCCTCGCTCAGCCAAGGAACCCCACTTGTGACCATGGGCAAAACACACTCTCTTGTCCTCAGAGGAAGGCAGTGGCACATTTCCTCCAAAGCAACCTTGCCAAGTAAACCCCATAATAGGTTCGCCATAAGTCGGAGTTGACTTGAAGGCACATAAGAACAGACTCCAAGAGGGTAGCAGCTGCTTTATCACACCAAAGTTGGCAATGTTTGCTGACCTGCCAACATTAAAAGGAAAAAGGGTTATGAATTGAGTCCCAAACGGTGACTTTTGCAGGGGCCCAATGATGGATCATGAGGTTTCTCGTGAAGGTTTGGATCTCCAGCACCTCCCCAGATGAGGACAGCATTTGCTCACCAGAAAAGGTGCCAACAAACAACTGGATGAGATGGGTTTCTTTGCTTCTTAAGTTGATGAGGAGGGAGGTGGAGGCCGGCGCCGCCTTGGACCCTGGCTCTCCACGTTGAAAAATGATACACAACAAAGAGCAGTTCAGTCTCAGCTCTCGGGTGTGGGCTCGCTCCAGTTCACATGGACACCAGGAGGGATGTGCTGGCAGAGGCAAAGGACCACAGGACCCAGCAGCCACGGACGGACAGCACCAGGACTCTGAGGGAGGCACCGGATGCTAAGTGAGTGGCGTCTTGTAAGACTTTCTCCTCGACAGATATCTGGAAGGAGAAACAAAGAGGAAGGAAGGAGTTAAAAGGTAATGGCCGAATCTACACCATGCTTGCACACAATGAACCTACATTTATACTGTTGCAAATCAGCTTCCAAAATCGGCTGCCCAATTGGCTTTGGGTCTGAATTCAAGGTGCTGCAGATAATACTGGCAGTCCTAACTGTCTTAGGGAGCCATGGGGATGAAAACTAGTCGGTGCACACTCACATAATGCAGTTCAATGCATTTAAACTGCATTATATGAGTCTACACTACACCATATAATGCAGTTTATATGGTGTAGTAGAATCATGGAATCAAAGAGTTGGAAGAGACCTCATGGGCCATCCAGTCCAACCCCATTCTGCCAAGAAGCAGGAATATTGCATTCAAAGCACCCTGAAAGATGGCCATCCAGCCTCTGCTTAAAAGCTTCCAAAGAAGGAGCCTCCACCACACTCTGCCTCCACCACACTCCGGGGCAGAGAGTTCCACTGCTGAATGGCTCTCACAGTCAGGAAGTTCTTCCTCATGTTCAGATGGAATCTCCTCTCTTGTAGTTTGAAGCCATTGTTCCGCGTCCTAGTCTCCAAGGAAGCAGAAAACAAGCTTGCTCCCGCCTCCCTGTGGCTTCCTCTCACATATTTATACATGGCTATCATATCTCCTCTCAGCCTTCTCTTCTTCAGGCTAAACATGCCCAGCTCCTTAAGCCGCTCCTCATAGGGCTTGTTCTCCAGAAACCACAGACCACCTTCCGCAATGCGGCCTGAACCCTGCCACATGCAGAGGAAGAAAGGAGAGAAAGAAAAAGGGAGGGGAAGGAAGGAAGGAGGTAGAGAAGGAAGGAAGGAAGGAAGGAAAGGGAAGGAAGGAAGGAGAAGGAAGAAGGAAGGAGGGAAGGAGGAGAGAAGAAGGAGGAGGAAGGAAGAAGGAGAAGGAAGGAAGAGAAGAGGAAGAAGGAAGGAAGGAAGGAAGGAAAGAGGGAGGGAGGAGAAAGAAGGAAGAAGGAAGGAAGGAAGGAAGGAAGGAAGGAAGAAGGAAGGAAGGAAGGAGAGAGGGAGAAGGAGGAAGGAAAGGAAGGAAGGAAGAAATATATACACACATATACACAGAAAGGGGGAAGGAAGGAAGGAAGGAAGAGAAGAAGGAAGAAGAGAAAGAGGGAAAGAAGGAGGGAAGGAGAGAAGGTAGGAAAGAAACAAAGAAAGGTAGAAAAGGGAGGAAGGAAAGAAGGAAATAAAAAGTGAAAGAAGGAAGGAGAGAGGGAAGGAAGGAAGGAAGGAAGGAAGGAAGGAAGGAAGGAGAGAAGGAATGGGAAATAAAAAAGGGAAGGAAGGAAGGAGAGAAAGAGGGAGGGAGGGAAGGTTGGCCACAGCAACGCATGGCAGGTACAGCCAGTAAATAAATAAATCTCTCATCAGCCTACAGGCAGCATTAGGTTAGAGAAGCTCTGGAATGGGTTCAAGCTGCAGGAAAAGAGATTCCACAAAACATTAGGAAGAACTTTCAGGTGGGATATGCTGTTTTGGAATCCAGTAGAGTCCGCTTCTCTGGAGGTTTTTAAGCACAGGCTGGATGTCCATCTATCAGGAATGCTTCGATTGTGTTTTCCTGCCTGGCAGGAAGGGGTTGGTCTGGATGGCCCTTTTGGTCTCTTCCAACTCTTATGAGTCTATGGTTGTATGAATCTGTGGAATGCAGATCCCTGTGTCCTCTGCCACGGCTCCTGACTTCTGCATTTGAGGGCTTTGGGTTTTGGAAATGCAGGAGCAAGTCTGTAATCCAGCTCAGAGTTTGAATTAAATGCCAAATCTCCATGTTCCCTGTCTCAGGAGAGATTGAGAGAGAGAGAGAGAGCATCGCAAGCCCCTATCTGTGGGCTGGGAGTGGGCTTGTCAGATGCCGTTGCTTTGAAACCTTCTGTCGCTGCTGTCTAATCGGCTTAGCGCTTCTCTTATCCCGCAGCTGCCAGGGCCCCAGGAGTTAAATACAGCTCACAAAGTTCAGCTCCAAGCTTGGAAGCAGCCGCAGCCGCCAAAGGCAGCCTTCCAGCAGGGCAGCCTTATCGGATCCTGAAACTTAGACACAACTTTCCAAAAGGGAAAACAAACAAACAAGTAAACACAGGAGTTTGGAATGGAGGAGCCAGTGCCATTGGTGACCAGAAAAAGCTGTAAGTTTCCATGTCTGTGACATGTCTGGCAAAGGAAGGACGCCTTTCCAAACACACACACACATATAGAGAAATGCACACGCAAAGATGGGGAGAGTTTGCTCAAACATTGTGGGAAATGTGGGTCTGAAAAGTGACACAAATTTTGGAAAACGTTTGAAAATTCTGTGCTGAAATTTCGTCCAACTTTCTGTGCTGAAAAATAAAAACAAAGTGCTGTTCAACTGTTGCAAGGGTTCAGGATGAGGACCTGGATGGAATCGGACTTGAGATATGACTTTCTCCCACTCTTATTTCCCCCCATTTACTTACCATCTTTGTATGCTGGCAACATGGAAGCCATCCCAGTGGCTGTGAGTGGAAATCCATCTTGCCAGCACACAAATATGAAGAGAGAACATTTTAAGAAGTTGGGTGTTCCCCGACTGCTGATTGAAGAAAGCAGTGGGAAGCCAAGTTGGTAAACACCCCAAGGCCCATCCAATCCAACCCTCTCCATGTAGGAGGACACAATCAAAACCCTCCTGACATGTGGCCATCCAGCCTCTACTTCAAAAACCCAAGAGACAGAAACTCCACAGCCCTCTGAGTCCAAAAGTGGCAGGCTCAAACCCGGAATCTCAATCTATGTTGTTGTTGTTCATTCGTTCAGTCGCCTCCGACTCTTCGTGATCTCATGGACCAGCCCACGCCAGAGCTCCCTGTCGGCCGTTACCACCCCCAGCTCCCTCAAGGTCAGTCCAGTAACTTCAAGGATGCCATCCATCCATCTTGCCCTTGGTCGGCCCCTCTTCCTTTTGCCTTCCACTTTCCCCAGCATCATTCCCTTCTCTAGGCTTTCCTGTCTCCTCATGATGTGGCCAAAGTACTTCAACTTTGTCTCTAGTATCTTTCCCTCCAGTGAGCAGTCGGGCTTTATTTCCTGGAGGATGGACGGATCCTCCAGGAGGAGGATCTCAATCTATGGCTGACACCAAATGAGAGACTCGAACCTGGGCACACAGAAGACTGGGCAACTTGGAAGGCACTGAACATTCTGCACTCTGGCACCACGAGATGCAGAGCCAACCCTAAGAAATGGGGCAACAGAGTGAAGTCCATGACATGCAAGTGTGGAGAAGAGCAACACCTACTGCAATGCAACCTGAGCCCTGCCACATGCACCACGGAGGACCTTCTTGTAGCAACACCAGAGACAATCCAAGTCTCCAGCTACTGGTCAAAGGACATTTAATAGAATACCAAGTTTGCGAACTTTGTGTGTGTGTGTTTTTTAATGCAGTACAACTGTTTGGTTTGCTCCTGACACAATAACTAAATAAATCTATATAAATAAAAATGTAATGTTTGTAGGATTAACATAACTCAAAAACCACTGGACGAATTGACACCAAATTTGGACACAAAATTTGGACACAATATCAGGCCAACAAGTGACCATCACTCATAGAAACAATGAAAAACACAGCAGAAGGGACTTTAAAAGCCAAAAAACAAAAATACATTACAACTCATGCGCAAAACCACACATATACACAAACACACATATATGCACATATACACAAATACATACACACACATAGAAAGAGGAAGGAAGGGGAAAGATGGAGAGAAAGAGGGAAAGAAGGAGGGAAGGAGAGAAGGAAAGAAAGAAAGGTAGAGAAGGAAGTAAGGAGAGAAGGAAAGAAAAAAGTGAAAGAAGGAAGGAAAGAGAGAGGGAAGGAAGAAGAGAAGGCACGCGAGAGAGAAAGAGGGAGGGAGGGAAGGGAGGAAGGAAAGAGAGAAGGAAGGATGGAACCAACAAGCAAAGGGAGGAAAGAAACAGGTAAAGAAGGAAGGAAGAAGAAGGGAAAGATGAAGGAATAGAAAAAGAGGGAAGGAAGGGAAAAGGGAGGGAGGGAAGGAAGGAAAGAGAGAAGGAAGGATGGAACCAAAGAGCAAAGGGAGGAAAGAAACAGGTAGAGAAGGAAGACAGAAGAAGGGAAAGATGAAGGAATAGAAAAAGAGGGAAGGAAGGGAAAAGGGAGGGAAGGAAGGAGAGAAAGAAAGAAAGAAAGAAAGAAAGAAAGAAAGAAAGAAAGAAAGAAAGAAAGAAAGAAAGAAGGAAAGAAAGAAAGAAAGAGGGAAGGAAAGTTGGCCACAACAACACGTGGTGGGTACAGCTAGTAAATAAATGAAATCTATGTGTTTCCTTTCTTGTGCCTTATTGTAGTAACCATGCATTCCTCCCTATTGAAACCCATTTTGTTAAGTTTTGCCCCAGCTCTGATTCCGTATTCCTGCCTGGCAGAAAGCATTGGACTGGATGACCCTTGGGATCACCTCCAAGCCTCTGGTTCCCTTCCATGCCTGCTTTTCCTTACATATCTAGGAAATAAGGACTGACATCCTGGATTCACTGTACTATTGACATGAGAGCAACCCTCGACCAAGTGTCCCCTCATTCCGGCCAAAGGGACCCTTTTGTTTGGGTTCCAGACTCACCTTGGTGGGCTGTATCTGCTCGAAGATGTTCTCTCTGAGGGTGGCCGCTGCTTTGTTGGCGTTCCTCTCTTGTTTGCGCATCTGCGTTGTGGGAGGGGTGGAGGGACCCAGGGCTGCGCTCAGGTATGTCCCGTTGCCAAAGGCTTGGATGGCATTTTCTGAAGGAGAAAAAGGAGGAGAGCCTGAAAACCATACTTCTGAACCTCTGGTATGAAGCTCTAGGTCCTGCATAATGTGGATGCAAGCTGTGTTTTCCTTTGATATGGGCAGGATAGCATCTCCACTGTGTTACTGCTTCACCCTGAGCTGTGTTTTCCTATTATGTAGACTAGATAGACCTGTAACTCCAACAAATCCGTAACCGCAATGTAGGATGACAACCAACAAGATTTTAATGTATTGTTGAAGGCTTTCATGGCTGGAATCACTGGGTTGTTGCAGGTTTTTTCAGGCTATATGGCCATGTTCTAGAGGCTTGCTCTCCTGACATTTCGCCTGCATCTATGGCAAGCATACCTCTACCTCTGAGGATGCTTGTCATAGATGCAGGCGAAACGTCAGGAGAGAATGCCTCTAGAACATGGCCATATAGCCTGAAAAAACCTACGACAACCCAACAAGATTTTAATCTGATAGTTTAATAGGCAAAGGTAAAGGTTTTCCCCTGACACTAAGTCCAGTTGTGTTCAACTCCAGCTGTTGGTGCTCATCTCTAAGCCGAAGAGCTGACGTTGTCCATAGACACCTCCAAGGTCATGTGGCTGGCATGACTGCATGGAGCGCCGTTACCCTCCCACCAGAAAGTTTTATGTCTTTTCATCATCTATTGTGCACTTTTTCCTCTAGCCATTGGTCAAAGCATCACTGAGTTATAATGCCACATTTGCTTAGCTAAAGTCCTGTAATAAAGGTAAACGTAAATATTTCCCTTGACATTAAGTCTAGTTGTGTTCAACTCTGGAGGGTGGTGCTCATTTCCATTTCTAAGCTGAAGAGCCGGCGTTGTCCGTAGACACCTCCAAAGTCATGTAGCCGGCATGATTGCATGGAGCGCCATTACCTTCCCACCAGAGCGGTACCTATTGATCTACTCACATTTACATGTTTTCGAACTGCTAGGTTAACAGAAGCTGGGGCTAACAGCGGGAACTCACGCCGCTCCCCGGATTCGAATCTGTAACCTTTCAGTCGACAAGTTTAGCAGCTCAGCGGTTTAACCCACTGCACCACCACTGTTTAGTAGTTTATCTTAGTGGAACGGGTTGTGGCACAGCTGATTGGAAATCAGCTGCAATAAAATCACTACTGCCTGAGAGGTCATGAGTTCGAAGCCAGCCCGAGTCCGAGTGAGCTTCCGGCCATTTGTCCAGCTTACTGTCGACCTTTTGCAGCCCAAAAGACAGTTGCATCTATCAAGTAGGAAATTTAGGTACCGTTTATGCAGGGAGGCTAATTTAACTAATTTACGACACCATAAAACTCTCCAGCAGCGTGCAAAAGAATGAGGAAGTACTCCATTGGTGTTATAAGTGGACGGTGAAGCAACAGCTCCCCCGGTGGCCAGAATTCAAAAAGCATACCCTTCCTCATGAAGCTGGAAAGTTAAATAGCCTCTGTGTGTCTGTCTATATATGTTGTGTGTCTATGGCATTGAATTTTTACCATGTATATGTGCATTGTGATCCGCCCTGAGTACCCTGCGGGGTGAGAAGGGCGGAATATAAATGCTGTAAATAAATAAACAAACAAATATCTTCAGTTTTGTTTAGCCCTATGTGAGGTTGCGTATACACAGTTTACACTTCTCCAATCGCCATGGCCCAGTACTATGGAATCATGGGAGTTGTAGTTTTGCAAGGTCTTTAGCATTCTCTGCTAAAGAACGCTGGTGCCCAACCAAACTACAATTCCCATAATCCCACATCATTGAGCCATAGCAGAAAAAGTGGTGTTGAATGGCATTCATTCTACATTATAGATTGAATGTTCAAGTGGGTTCAACACCCTAAAACTTTTGGTTAAATTCAGAACTAAAATTCAAGACACTTTTGCACCCCAAAGCACACTGAATTGTTTTTGAGTGTCAAGGCCCTTTTTCCCCATTGAGGAGAATGATATTTCTGAATATTCTTTCCAGCGAAGCCTTTGACAGCCAATCAAGCGCAGGGCTGTCCTCCTTAATGTAGGACATGCAGCCCTCCCACCGTCTTGACAAGCTCTTTTCTTGGACAGCAGCAGAGAAATGTGAATAATTTACCAACCTTGGAGGAGAAAGAAGGAGAGAATTTATGGACTTTGACACTTATTAGGGGGGAAAATAATTCTCTCCTCTGCTCCGGGGCCAGGGATAGGCGCCTTGACGTATGACTCAGCTCCAGTTTCCAAAGGCTCTTTCTTGTTGGAGACCCGCCAGCCTTTCTCCGGCCAAACAAGGATGGAGTGGTGACGTCCCAAATCCCATCCCTGGCGGGGCTTTCCAGTTGCATCTTCTCTTCATTTCTAGCAAACTTTGGGTGTATTTCCATGGGTCATCTCAAGGAGGGAAATGAAGGTGCGTATCCTCCAGGTTTGGAGAGGCTCAGCTCCAAATAAGGGTTGGTGCAAGTCCTCAACTCAAATAGGAGTTGATGCAACCTGCAAACACTCTCTAAGTATCTACTACAGGTTTTTAAATGTGTTTATTGGTTTCAACTATGCATTTTAATAAGTCCTGAGCTCTGCGAGTGCAGCATTTTTCCGAATGAAGCACGGAGTGTTTGAGGACTGAGACATCCATAGGGATGCCAATTCTGGGCACCACAATTGAAGAGAGATATTGACAAGCTGGAATGTGTCCAGAGGAGGGCGACTCAAATGATCAAGGGTCTGGAGAACAAGCCCTATGAGGAGCGACTTAAAGAGCTGGGCATGTTTAGCCTGAAGAAGAGAAGGCTGAGAGGAGACATGATAGCCATGTATAAATATGAGAGAGGAAGCCACAGGGAGGAGGGAGCAAGCTTGTTTTCTGCTTCCTTGGAGACTAGGACGCGGAACAATGGCTTCAAACTACAAGAAAGAGATTCCATCTGAACATGAGGAAGAACTTCCTGACTGTGAGAGCCGTTCAGCAGTGGAACTCTCTGCCCCGGAGTGTGGTGGAGGCTCCTTCTTTGGAAGCTTTTAAACAGAGGCTGGATGGCCATCTGTCAGGGGTGATTTAATTATTATTATTATTATTATTATTATTATTATTATTATTACTTTATTTGTACCCCGCTAGCATCTCCCAAGGGATTCGATGCGGCTTACAACAGGCCGGAGCCCAACACAATACAACAATACAATACATAGCAAATAAAACAGTTAAAGCAGAAAACAATAGCAATAGCAATACAACAGGACATTATTAAAAACTGAGCCGGCCGGAGTAGGGTACAGGATTAAAAAGTGCTGAAGTGTCGGAGGGATATGGGATTAAAATATAAGTGCAGTGTGCAGTGAGCGGTGATCTTGGTTCTACTAAAGTGCTTCTGGGATTTGGTAGTGGGTTCCTAACTCTTTGAGAGTCACTTCTTAGCTCTGTGAGTGCAGCATTTTCCAAATGAAGCAGAGGGTGTTTGAAACCAGGACATCCATAGGGACACCAAAGTGCTTGTTTATAAAGCTATTGTCCTCCCAACTCTGCTCTATGCCTGCGAAACGTGGACTGTCTACAGACGTCACATGCAACTCCTGGAATGATTCCATCAGCATTGCCTTCGGAAAATCCTGCAAATCTCTTGGGAAGACAGGCGGACAAATGTCAGCATGGTGGAAGAAGCAAAGACCACCAGCATTGAAGCGATTGTCCTTCACCATCAACTCTAGTAGACCGGATACATTGTCCGAATGCCCAACCACCATCTCTCAAAGCAGTTGTTCTACTCTGAGCTCAAGGGTCCAAAAGTGGCAGGCTCAAACCCAGAACCTCAACCAATGGCTGATACCAAATGAGAGACTCCCCCCTGGGCACACAGAAAACTAGGTGACTTGGAAGGCGCTGAACAGACTGCGCACCACGAGATGCAGAGCCAACCTTCAGAAATGGGGCCACAAAGTGGAATCCACGACATGTGAGTGTGGAGAAGACTAAACCACTGACCACCTGCTGCAATGCAACCTGAGCCCTGCCACATGCACAATGGAGGACCTTTGTGCAGCAACACCAGAAGCACTCCAAGGGGCCAGATACTGGTCAAAGGACATTTAATCAACTACCAAACTCACAATTCTGTATTTTGTCTGGTTTTTTTTTTTTGCTTTGTTCTGTTAGAAATGTAATATAATTGACTAGTTGCACTGACACGATAAATAAATAAATAAAAATCCCCTAAGTAAGTAAATAAGTAATCCCCTGATTGCTGTGGTCACCTCCTTCTTGGCTGGGTGGATTCATAGTCCTCAAAAGCAACTTTTCCAGTACTCTTTCTCCCTCTGGAGTGAGAGCGTCAAAGGAGCCAAGGATATCTTGACGGCCCTTCCTTCCTGCTGGCAAACTAACAAGGCCGGTCCTTGTCGGAGGTTCTTGTAATGAGAGGATGTTCTGTCTCCAGACCTGCCCTGTTTCCAGCCTTTTGCAAGGACCTCCGCTCTCCTTGAGCTCTGACAACCTGAAGTTCTTCTTGAGAGGCTGACAGCGCTTGGCGTGAGCCTCCTTGCTTCCGGAGAGATTTTTCACGGCTGTCACTCGCCAAGTCCTGATGATGATGATCCATTTCTCTCCCAAGGCCTGAAACATCCATTGTGCAGCAGGAAGGTTTTCGCCTGACACAGAACGATTGCTATACCAGAAAAGTTTGGATTTGGATCCATACTCAGAGAAGGAGTACTCTGGCTCCCGAATCAGGCTCAACTCTGCTCCGGGTTTTAGTCAGAACTCTGAAAGGCTCAATCCTCCCATGTTTCTTTTATAATGTTGTATTCACCTAAACACCCCAAAGGCATCAGATTGCATCTGATCCTGGAAGCTAAGCAGGGTCAGCCCAGGTTAATACTTGGATGGGAGACCATAAATGAATACCAGGGATTTTTTTAACTCTATTTCAGAGGAAGGAAATAGAGTCACCAGTACTGCTTATTGAAGTAAACCCAATGAAAGTCATTCAAACACTCTACTTTGACATACAACTTGAAGGGACACATACACATTGTTAGTTTTGAATAAAAAAATGCAGAAGCACATTTATTTCAACAAACAAGGACATCTAATAATCACCTCTCAACAAAAGTTTGCTCTAGGCACTGTCAGGCCATTATATGCTAATCAAGGTGGTCAGTTGAAACATTCACACCTAGCTCCAGCAGACAAGAGTCCTTTGTCCCACCCTGGTCATTCTACAGATATATAAACCCATTTTTCTAGTTCCAACAGACCTCACTACCTCTGAGGATGCTTGCCATAGATGCAGGCGAAACATCAGGAGAGAATGCATCTAGAACATGGCCATATAGCCCGAAAAAACCTACAACAACCCAGTGATTCCGTCCATGAAAGCCTTCGACAACATATTTACTTCCTTTTCTTTTTTTGCTTGTCAAGAACCCTATCCATATCCTCTCCATGTTATTCCCACCTTTGGCACCAAAACCATTTGGGAAAAATGTACTGTGGCTCCTTCTGCAATCCCAAGGAGTTAAATGATACAATGAAAGTACTGATTCTAACACATCATCCATGAATTGCACCTACATGTGAAATGCATGTGTGGGACACACCTCTGTAACCTTTCATTCGTCTGGAGTGTGTTACAGAGCAGCTGGAAAACTACAACTGCATGCTTACTGACACAGCTATAGGTAGACCAAGGTGCTTGTTTATAAAGCCATTGTCCTCCCAACCCTGCAATATGCCTGCGAAACGTGGACTGTCTACAGACGTCACATGCAACTCCAGGAACGATTTCATTAGCGTTGCCTCCGAAAAATCCTGCAAATCTCTTGGGAAGACAAGGGTCAGTGTGCTGGAAGAAGCAAAGACCACCAGCATTGAAGCGATGGTTCTCCACCATCAACTCTGCTGGACTGGCCATGTTGTCCGAATGCCTGACCACCATCTCCCAAAGCAAATGCTCTACTCCAAACTCAATAACAGAAAACGGAATGTTGGAGGACAGGAAAAGAGATTTAAAGATCAGCTCAACACCAACCTTTAGAACTCTGGCATAGACACCGAGAACTAGGAAGCCCTGGCCCTTGAGCACTCCAGATGGAGGCCAGCTGTGACCAGCAGTGCTGTAGAATTTGAAAAGTCATGAATGGAGGGCAAAAGAGGGAAACGTGCCAAGAGGAAGGCATGTCAATCCAACCCTGACCTTCCACCTGGAACTGCCTTCCACCTGGAAACAACACCCTGACTGCAGGACAAGATGCAGATCAAGAATAGGGCTCCACAGTCACCTATGGACCCACTGCCAAGACACCGATCTTGAAGACTATCCTACTCGGACAATGAGGGATCACCTAAAAAGAAGAAGACCACCACCATCTAATGTTAGATAATCAACATCCGGAACACTGCGGCAGCAAAGAGCTTTCATTGAGATATTGAATCCATGCTGGATTTTAATCTGAACGAATTTGGTGTCGATGCCATATTGGTGATAGGGTTCAGAATGTGTTGCAGCATTATAAAAATGACTGCATGACAATAGGAAAAATGTGTTCCTGTGTGAGGCCCAGTTCGGTTGATGAGTTGAATGAGTCAAGCATCCAGTTGAATCATAGAAGCATAGGATCATAGAACCAAAGAGTTGTAAGAGGCTTCCAAAGGCCATTCAATGCAACCTTTTTCTGTCAGGCAAAAGGACACAATCCAAGCCCTCCCAACAGATGGTCATCCAGCTTCCATCTAAAAACCTCCATGAAAGGAGGCTCCACCAGACACTGAGGTAGCACCAGTTCCTTGAACTGTGCTACCCAGGACAACATCCCTTTCCAAACCGCAGCCCCATGATACTCACGGAGACAGGTGTTGGCAGTGAAAAGGTGCAGGAAGCTCTCGCACTCCTCTTGCCTGTTGCCACTGGCATTGCATGTGCACCACGGAGCTATGTTTGAGGTCGAGTTGTCGATGTAATTTGGGGTGATGGGACTACCTGTCATGGGGATCAAGGGAGGAGAGGGAAGAGAGTAAAAATAGTTGTTAGTTGCAAAAAATGATGGAGAGCAAATACCATGGTTTGAATTCCCTAATGAATTTTTCCACTTGGGACCCCTTTCCATCCAAGAACTGTTTACATGACCCTAGGTATATAGGCATATAAAATAGATATTAAAATGAAACACGTACTGATAACAAAACAGCTTACTAAACAGGCTGATTTTCCTTTTTGTGAAGTACAGCTGAAGCATCTTCTGCAGAGTCAACTGTAAACATCTACACCAGCCACTAGGTGGCGTTCAGAAAACCTTTCCTGTTGCCAATTTTTTGGGACCTCAACACTGAGCAAAGGGGACCCCACTTGAGGTCTCAACCCACAGTTGAAGAAGCAGTGATATAAAGTCGCACATCCATGACTAAATTGTATTCATGGTCTCTATGTTGGGCCAGAAAATGTTACTTAGTGAAGAATAAGAATTTGATTAGTTAAGTTTAGTTCAGTGAGGTAAAGGTAGTCCCCTGACTTTAAGTCCAGTCATGTCTGACTCTGGGGTGTGGTGCTCATCTCCATTTCTAAGCCGAAGAGCCAGCGTTGTCCATAGACACCTCCAAGGTCATGTGGCCGGCATGACTGCATGGAGCGCCGTTACCTTCCCGCCGGAGCGGTACCTATTGATCTCCTCACATTTGCATGTTTTCGAACTGCTAGGTTGGCAGAAGCTAGGGCTGACAGTGGAAGCTCACGCTGCTCCCCGGAATCGAACCTGCGATCTTTCGATCAACAAGCTCAGCAGCTCAGTGCTTTAACCCACTGAGCCACCGGGGGCTCCTTAGTTCAGTGAAGGTGCATCTGTAGTGTAGAATTGATGCAGTTTGACACCACTTTATCTGCTATGGCCCAATGCTATGGAATCCTGGGAAATGCAGTTTGGTGAGTCATCAACATTTCATTTGTGCCTGCCGTCTGGTGAAAATGATATGCAGAGAAAGCTTTCTGCAAATGATTCCAGGATTTGAGGGCTGAGTCCAGTTTCTGGGTAGGAAATGACTCCTGATTCACTATTCCTAAACTGTGCTAGGAATGTTCTTTGTAGGAGATCAGATGGGAAACTGGACACTCTATAAGCCCAGAGCTTAGCAAATGTATGTTTAGGATTGAAACTCTCAAAATCCCAGCACAGTTAATATTGTCCAGTGATTGTGACACTGTGGGTCCCAGTCTGGGAGAAAAGCGGCACACCAGTGCAGCAAATTAAATAATAAATCAACAAATCAGTACATTTAATTCCTTTAAAGTAACTTGGTTATGCTCTGTGTGAGTCTTGAACCCCTTTGAGGACGGAAAAGAGCCCGATCTCCCATCTCTGAAGCTGGACTACAGCATGACAACCCAATCATGCTGGAAGATGGGTTTCACCGCAGCGTTGGAGAGGTCAGCAGCAAATGCGAGATTCAAGGGCTTTGGGGAAAAACCTGCTCCTGTCGGCATTACGAAGATCCATGTCTTCCTGCAAATGTTGCGCTCTGAATTAGATCTTTGCTCTGATTTGGTGTAATTGCTTCTGCACTCGACTCTGAAATCTGTTTGGGATGTGGAATTGGATTCTGGGCGCATGCTGCAGCCTGGCAGGTCAACCGTGGGTTTGATAGCGCCAAATAACAACCACCATTTGTATTTACTAAAAGCAGGCAATGGACTAGATGCGGCATTATAGTTGTGCCCCATTGTGCTTTGGAAAAGGATTGGAAGGGAAAAGAAAAACATGCAATGTGGGCTCTCTATGTTGTATATCACAATCCCATCCCATAGAAATGATCTATAGCAGGCATGAGCAAACTTCAATCCTCTAGGTGTTTTGGACTTCAGTTCCCAAAATTCCTAACAAACGGCTTACTTACTGTATTGTCGAAGGCTTTCATGGCTGGAATCACTAGGTTCTTGTGGTTTTTTTCAGGCTATAGGGCCATGTTCTAGAGGCATTTCTCCTGACGTTTCGCCTGCATCTATGGCAAGCATCCTCAGAGGTAGTGAGGATGCTTGCCATAGATGCAGGCGAAACGTCAGGAGAAATGCCTCTAGAACATGGCCCTATAGCCTGAAAAAACCCACAAGAACCTGGCTTACTTATTTATTACTTACTTAGGTGATCCCTTGTTGTCCGAGTAAAATTGTTCTCCAAGTGTGGTGTACTGGCAGTGGGTATGTAGGTGACTGTGGAGCCCTATTCTTGACCCACATGTTCTCCAGCAGTGAGGGCATTGGTTTCCAGGTGGAAGGCGGTCCTGGTCAGGGTTGGCTTGATGTGCCTTCCTCTTAGCACATTTCTCTCTTTTGCCCTCCATTTGTGCCTCTTTGAATTCTACAGCACTGCTGGTCACAGCTGACCTCCAGTTAGAGTACTCAAGGGCCAGGGCTCCCTAGTTCTCTGTGTCTATGTCACAGCTTTTAAGACAATCTTTGAGCCCATATTTCAATCTCTTTTCCTGCCCACCAACATTCCATTTTCTGTTCTTGAGTTTGGAGTAGAGCAACTGCTTTGGGAGATGGTAGTCGGGCATCTGGACAACGTGGCCAGTCCTGTGGAGTTGATGGCGGAGGACCATCGCTTCAGTGCTGGTGGTCTTTGCTTCTTCCAGCATGCTGACATTTGTCCGCCTGTCTTCCCAAGAGATTTGCCGGATTTTTCGGAGGCAACGCTGATGGAATCGTTCCAGGAGTTGCATGTGACATCTGTAGATCATGTTTTGCAGGCACATTATCTTGTCAATTAGCTCTTGGATCTCTTTGTCATTTTCGTCAAACCAATCTTGATGTTTCTTGATTTGATATCCAATAGCTTCTTCGCAGGCTGTGATGAAGGAGGTCTTCTGTTTGTTCCAATGTTCCTCGACATTTTTGGGGTGTTCTATGGGTAGATGATCCTTGAGTGTTGTTTCGAGAAGGGCTCGTGTGGAGGGCTCCTGAAGGGCTTGGGTGTTCATTTTGCACCTTGTCTTTCTTCTTTGGAGCCTGCGTTTGGCAGGTTGTTAGGATTTTTGGGAGTCGAAGTCTAAAACACCTGGAGGGCTGAACTTTGCTCATGTTTGATCTAAAGGATAGTATCAACATTGCACAGATATGAACAATGGGATGGGATCAAACAGCCAAACGTAGCAATGGTTTAAATCCAAATTTCAAAGATCTATCCAACTTTGCTGAAGTTAGTTTGGTCTAAGATTCAGCATGACGGACAGCAGGTTTGTTGTAGGTTTTTCCGGTCTATATGGCCATGTTCTAGAGGCATTTTCTCCTGACGTTTCGCCTGCATCTATGGCAAGCATTCTCAGAGGTAGTGAGGTCTTTAGCAGGTTTAAAGTTTGGGAAGACCTATCCATGGTGCTGAAACTAACATCTATCCAAAGTGCTGGAGTTGTTTGGAAGTCACATCCAAGGTGCTCAAACTAGCTTTGATCTAAAGTTCAGCACCATGGACAGCTCCTTTAAAGCTTTGTTTAATCCAAGAGTGAACTCCCCACCTCCATCCCATGGAAACAATGATGCCCCATTGGTTATATTAATGTGATCTTGATACAAAAACCACCCCCCCCCCATTTTTGAACTGACTTCCATTTCCATACCTATGATCCCAGTATAGGCTAATAGACATGCGGCGTAGTTTTCTCTCTGGCATCCTGTGGCCGACTGTGTGGACGGTTGGCAATTATACTGTAATTCTGCATAACGCGACCTGAGAAAGAAAGGACAAAGTGCAAATGAGAATTGGTTTAATTAATGACGGTATGCAGCTTGGCATCCAATATGCAAGAGCCAAGACCCATCCTATCCCCCACCCCCCAAAGGTAATATTGGCAGAAGTATTGACAGTAATGCCTCAAGATTCCACATCATTGGAAATTTTTGAGTGGGAGACTATGGAGCAAAGTCCCGAGTAGCGACCCCTTAATACAGTTCCTCATGTTGTGGTGCCCCCACAACCATGACATTATTTTTGCTGCTACTTCATAACTGTAGTTTTGCTACTGTGATGAATCGTAATGTAAATATCTGATATGCAGGGTGTATTTTCATTCACTGAACCAAATTTGGCACAAACACCTGAAACGCTCAAATTTGAATACTGGCAGGGTGGAGCGGGGTTGATTTGTTGTTTGGGAGTTGTAGTTGCTGGGGTTTATAGTTCACCTACAATCAAAGAGAATTCTGAACTCCACCAACAATGGCATTGAACCAAACTTGGCACACAGAACTCCCATGACCAACAGAAAATACTGGAAGGGTTTGGTGGGCATTGATCTTGAATTTTGGAGTTGTAGTTCATCTAAATCCAGAGAGCACTGTGGACTCAAACAATGATGGGTCTAATGGACCAAACTTGGCATGAATACTCAATATGTCCAAATGTGAACCCTGGTGGAGTTTGGGGAAAACAGACCTTGATATTTGGGAGTTGTAGTTGTGGTATTTATAGTTCACCTACAATCAAAGAGAATTCTGAACCCAACCAATGAGAGAAGTGGGCCAAACTTCCCACACAGAACTCCCATGACCAACAGAAAATACTGTGTTTTCTGATGGTCTTTGGCGACCCCTATGCCACCCCCTTGCAACCCACCCAGGGGTCCCGACCCCCAGATTGAGAAACAGCTGCTCTAAGGAGTCCAGATACTACCTGAGTTTGGAAGCTAAGCAGAGTCAGACCACCAATGAATCCCAGGTGCTGTAGGATCTATTTTAGAGGGAACTAGCTGTCCCCTGCCACACGTTGCTGTGGCCCAGTCTGTTGATATGGAAAACAAAGTAATGAGAAAGTGTTGGTTTCTAATATATGTAATGTCATTCTGCTTGTGGGTAAACAGTATTCCTTGCTGTTTCTTTGTCAGTGTTGATGTGGAGAGTGTCTGGTTTGCCTACTCTGGAACATGGAACATATAATTGTCCTTCTTCCGGGGTCCCTTTCAAACCTATGATACTATATTTGTGTGTGTGTGAATTGTATCTATCTATATCTATGGCTGGATGGCTCTTTGTCAGGAGGGCTTTGATTATGTTTTCTTGCCCAGGTGAAGGGAGTTGGACTGGATGGCCTTGAATATTTTCTGTTGGTCATGGGGGTTCTGTGTGGGAAGTTTGGCCCAATTCTGTCATTGGTGGGGTTCAGAAAACTCTTTGATTGTAGGTGAACTATAAATCCAGGTAACTACAACTCCCAAATGTCAAGGTCTATTTCTCCAAAACTCAATTTGTGTTCATATTTGGGCGTATTGAATGCTTGTGCCAAGTTTGGTCCAGATCCATCATTGTTTGAGTCCTCAGTGCTCTCTGAATGTAGGTGAACTACAACTCCCAAACTCAAGGTCAATGCCCACCAAATCCTTCCAGTATTTTCTGTTGGTCATGGGAGTTCTGTGTGCCAAGTTTGGTTCAATTACATCGTTGATGGAGTTCAGGATGCTCTTTGATTGTAGGTGAACTATAAATTCCAGCAACTACAATTCCCAAATGACAAAATCATAATTTTTTGAGTGATGGTCACTCCTTGTGTTGTGAGGTCTTTTATTGCCAAATTTGGTGTAATTTCATTCATTGGTTCTTTTGTTTTTAAGGCACTCATTATGCACAGAGCATTTTATATATATATAGATGGCTAGAAAAAGCACCTCTGAGTATTCCTTGCTTAAGAAAACCCTATGATATTTTTGGGGTCACCATAAATTGACAGACACACAGACACACACACCCTTTCTCTATCAGAGTATGATGGAATGGAATTAAAACAGAGAGCCTCTGCTTGCAAAGCTTGTGTATATACTACCGAAAGAGGACGGAGGGTTGTTTTTTTTATAGAATTTGCATATGTTAATTTCTATGTCTAGAGGCAAATGTAGAAATAATAGCTATACTTTAAATAGAAATACACTAGCCTCAATTCCGCATGAGGGTTGCATAGTGCTAAATCTGCACATGTCAAGCTAATGCATAAATGGTGCTAGTCAGCTGTCAGGGATGAGCAAAATAAAGGCGTTTCTCCCAAATAAGTATCCTTCTTCCCCCCAATTACATTTTCTCCTAGTTCCTAGATTTCTAGTACTGGAGAAAGGGAGAAATGGAACAGTTCCCATATCTAAAACATTTCTGTTTTCTGCATTCTCATTCCTTTTGTCATTTGTGTCTACCTTATTTCTTTTGGAGGGCTAAAATGTAGTTCCAACATTGAGAACTGGAAGAAAATGTCATTTCACGAGCACAGATCTTATTCTGATGGGTATCATATCCTCACTGTCGCTCTCTTTCTTTAACTGGTGCAACTGAACCAAGCAACCACATTTTCAGCAGAATGAGCAACCAAATAGGTCTGTGCACCCAGAAGCAATGGCACAACATGGACAACATAACTTTCCCCAACTCTGCTCAACATCTTTATTAATGACTTAGATGAAGGGCTAGAAGGTATGATCATCAAGTTTGCAGATGACACCAAATTGGGAGGGATAGCCAATACTCCAGAGGACAGGAGCAGGATTCAAAACGATCTTGACAGATTAGAGAGATGGGCCAAAACTAACAAAATGAAGTTCCACAGGGACAAATGCAAGATACTCCACTTAGGCAGAAAAAACGAAATGCAAAGATACAGAATGGGGGAATACCTGGCTTGAGAGCAGTACGTGTGAAAAAGATCTTGGAGTCCTCGTGGACAACAAGTTAAACATGAGCCAACAATGTGATGTGCTGGCAAAAAAAGCCAATGGGATTTTGGCCTGCATCAATAGGATCCAGGGAAGTCATGCTCCCCATGTTCTATTCTGCTTTGGTTAGACCACACCTGGAATATTGTGTCCAATTCTGGGCACCACAATTCAAGAGAGATATTGACAAGCTGGAATGTGTCCAGAGGAGGGCGACTAAAATGATCAAGGGTCTGGAGAACAAGCCCTATGAGGAGCTTAAGGAGCTGGGCATGTTTAGCCTGAAGAAGAGAAGGCTGAGAGGAGACATGATAGCCATGTATAAATATGTGAGAGGAAGTCACAGGGAGGAGGGAGCAAGCTTGTTTTCTGCTTCCATGGAGATTAGGACGCGGAACAATGGCTTCAAACTACAAGAAGGGAGATTCCATCTGAACATGAGGAAGAACTTCCTGACTGTGAGAGCCGTTCAGCAGTGGAACTCTCTGCCCCGGAGTGTGGTGGCGGCTCCTTTTTTTGGAAGCTTTTAAACAGAGGCTGGATGGCCATCTGTCAGGGGTGATTTGAATGCAATATTCCTGCTTCTTGGCAGAATGGGGTTGGACTGGATGACCCATGAGGTCTCTTCCAACTCTTTGATTCTATGATTCTATGAAAGCTACTGTCTGAACGGGCCCTTAGAGTGCTAGAAAGACAAATAAATGGGTCCTAGAGTCAATCAAGCTTGAATTCTCCCTTGAAGCCAAGATGACTTATCTGAGACTGTTCCACTTTGGACACAGTCTAAGAAGACATGATTCATTAGAAGACAATAATGCTTGGATGCTTTGGTAAAAAGCAGTAGGAAAAGAAGGAGACCACATTACAGAAGTAGAAGTTTGAGCTTTGGGCTGGGACTCTGGAGACTCAGGTTCAAATCCCCAGTTAGCCAATGAGTCGCCCGCGGGGCTGAAAAAGGTGGTATACAAAAATAGTAAATAAATAAATAGTAAATAATAGAAACACATTGGATTATCTTTGGAGAGGTCATAGAGTCATAGATCATAGAATCAAAGATTTGGAAGAGACCTCATGGGCCATCCAGTCTGTAAAGGAGATCAACGACAACCTTGGGCGGGGGGGGGGGGGGCAAGCAATCTCACCCGCTGCCCACCAGTGTGAAGCGTTAACGTTCAGCTGGACACTACTTTAACGAAGATAAATGACTATGACGAGGGGGAAAGACTCTCTTATCCCACCTCAGTAATAATATTATTGAGTGACCAACTGTGATGTAGTTATTGACCGATGTAATAGATAGATTCGCCGCCACCAACTCAATTAATGTCTGAGGAAAACATAAGTGTGAATGTGAAATTGGTAAATTATGTTCAGTATGTTCTTCTTTAACAACTGCTTCTCTTGCTGACTGGACTGAAATTAAGTTGTCTTTAGGCTAGCTGAGATCTAATGATTGTGACAGACCGAGGCAGACACCAGTTTAAGATGAAATTAGTAACAGGTTTATTTAAAACTTGGTGAACAAATCAACTCTTAATAAGAGTGGTACAAAAGAGTAATGCGTTTTCTGAGGCTTAGCTGGTTAGACAAGTAGTCTCTTCTTAAGACTATAACTTTTGTTTCCTGTGAGTTCCTTGCTTCACACTGGCCACTACGCTGACACAGTGTGTCCCTGAGAACAGCCCACTGACTGCCTCACAGAGCAAACAGGCTTTCCTACACTGACCCTACTATGTACAGTGATTCAGGAACCTTTGCCTTCCCTATGCTCTAACCCTCAAGGCTCACTTCAAAAGTTTTCCCTCCCTGCCTAAATTCTTCACAGCTCCCTCTTCCAAACTATCCTTCTACACTCTTCGATGTTTAAAGCTCGTCTCCCAGCTTGTCAAAAAGACACAGCCTTTTTTCCCTCTAAAAGCTAACTCCTCCCCTGACTGCTCTAGCCAATCAGGAGTCGGCTGACTCCTCCCTCTTGCCTCTTAGCTCTCCTGCCTATCTCTCAACATGTCAGCTACTGACTTTCCAGGCTTCGGCCTTCCTG